CTATCATCTGATCAATAAACAGGAGAGGGAAGTGGTCCTTCTTCATCAGAGCATTCAGTCGTCGGTAGTCGATACACTGGCGCCATCCTGTGGGTTTTCTCACCGGGACCATCTCGCCTTCCTGATTCTCTTTTACCGTTACTCCCACCTTTTTCGGGACTACCTGGACCGGACTAACCCATAGACTATCTGAAATGACGAAAACGATTCCCACTTCCAGGAGTTTAAGTATCTCCTTCTTTACCACTTCCATCATTACTGGGTTTAATCACCGTTGCGCCTGTCTTACCGGCTTTGCATCATCCTCAAGTCGGATCCGATGCATGCATAAGGAGGGGCTAATTCCCTTAATGTCTGCTATGCTCCACCCAATCGCCTCCTTATGATATCGAAGAAGACGAATAAGGTTGTCTTCTTGTCTTGGTGACAGGTGAGCAGATATGATGACTGGTAGCGTCTCATTGTCTCCGAGAAATGCATACTTCAAGTGCTTTGGGAGAGGATTGAGCTCCAACTCAGGTGCCTGCATAACAGAAGGCAACAATTTCGCCTGAGTTTTTGGTACAAAGAGAGAAGTAAGCTCATACCTTGGAGAAATTGGTGGGAGCGAATGCAGTGCTTCAACTGCTCGGTATAACTCATCATTTATTTCTACATCAAGAGTTGCTCCCAACTCAAGATGTTTGGCCAATGCCACTGCCAGTACATCGTCCCCATCCAATTCAAATGTGTCATGTACAAGGGGTTCAATAACACTCAAAGTAAAAACAGAGTTAGCCTCATCCGGGTATTTCATCGCATCAAAGATATTGAAATTGACAATTTCACCATCAAATTCCATCGACAAAGTACCCTCATTCATATCTAATTTTGTCCTAACAGTGCTTAAAAATGGTCTACCTAGAAAAATAGGTGACGGATTTAATGACCTCTCATCTCTCATATCTAGGACATAGAAATCTGTAGGAAAGACTAACTCACTGACCAGTACTAAAACATCTTCAACTAACCCTTCTAGGTAAGCGTTGGTACGGTCTGCTAGTTGGATTATAATGCTTGTGCCTTTTAATGGCCCAAGATTAAGGGAGGCATAAATTGTCTTAGGCATAACATTAATTGACGCCCCCAAATCCAATATCGCTTTCCTAATTGGGGTACCTCCTATTTTGCAGGGAATGGTGAACATACCTGGGTCTCCACATTTTGGTGGGAGTTTCCTTTGGAGTATAGCTGACACATTTTCTCCCATCGCTATCCTTTCGTCATCCCTTAGCTTCCTTTTGTGGGTGCATAAATCTTTCAAAAACTTGGCGTACTTCGGTATCTGCTTGATTGCATCCAACAAGGAGATGTTGATCTCCACTTTTCGAAACACATCCAAAAGTTCTTTTTCCTTCTCAACCTTCTTTGTTTTTTTCAACCTGCAAGGAAAAGGAGGTAAGTTAGATTTAATAAGGGGTGGAGGAGTGAATGGTACCTTAGGATCCTCGTGAATGCGTCCTTCTTCTTCAATTTCTTTTTCTATCTCCTCCTTACTTTTGCTTTCGAATTTTAGGTCTCTCCAGTTCCTTGCCACTCCTCAGTGTCATGGCACTTACATTTCTGAGATTTACCTCGGGTTGCGATGGTAATTTTTTATAAATGTGGGACTCCAGGCGATTGATGGCAGTTGCCATTTGGCTCATTCGAGCCTCCATATCTTTCATGTCTGCTCTGGTGTCCTACTAGAACTGAGTAGTCCTCATGGTTAAGACTCTAGTTTCTTGCTGGAGTTGAACCATATTCGTGATCAATGATCTGGTCTCCTGCTGGAGTTGTCTAGTCTCTTGCTGGATCTGAGTAGTAGTTGTGGTCAGACTCTTGACAATATCCTCCAAAGAGCTTCTTGAGTTGGAGGTGAAGGTTGAGGCTTTGGTTACCATAGTTGCTGAAACCCTGGTGGACGATTTGAGAGTGAATTTTGTGGCCTATTCTCATAACTGAAATTGGAATGGTCTCTCCAACCGGGGTTGTACGTGTTAGAGTACGGGTCATACTGCCTACGGGATGCGGGCACGCTTCCGGCCATGTTCACCTATTCCGCCCCATCCTCTTGCAAAAGGGGACATGTGTCCGTACAGTGGTCCATGCTTGTGCAGATTCTACAGACCTTCGCTCACTGCACGTTCCCCATGGCTAATTGCCTAACAACCGACGTCAACTCTGACAGCTGCTGCTGAAGGGATGACGTCTCTATCTCGTTGACCCTACGGGTGGGGTTGTTCTCACGGAAGCCAAATTGCTGCGAATTTTCTGCCATTGACTCAATAAGCTCCCATACTTTCTTTGGCGTCTTATTTGCCAGTGCCCTTCCACTTGTAGCGTCAATGATATTCCTGTCAGTTGACTAGAGTTCTTCATAGAAGTACTGGATCAACAGTTGTTCACTGATTTGATGCTACTGGTATCTAATGCATAACTGGTTGAATCTTTCCCAATAGTCATACAAGGACTCCCCGGGATGCTATTTAATACTGCATATCTCCTTTCTCAAACTTGCAACTCGAGATGCGGGGAAGAATTTTTCTAGAAATTTCTTTTTCAATTGTGCCCATGTGGTGATACTACCTGCAGGTAGGTAGTATAGCCAATCTTTTGCTGCATCCTTGAGAGAGAAGGGGAATGCTCTAAGTCTAATTTGCTCCTCAGTGACCCTAGGAGATTTCATGCTAGAGCAAACCACTTCGAACTCCTTGACGTGTTTGTGGGGTTCTTCACCAGAGAGACCATGGAATGAGGGTAGGAGGTGAATCAACCCCGATTTCAGCTCGAAGGAGGTATTCTCAGCCAGAGCTGGGAATGTAATGCACAAAGGCTGGTGAGTCAACTCCGGGGTAGCCAGCTCCCTTAATGTTTGGGTGTTGGTCATGCTAAATTCGTCTTCTACTGACTCGTTTGCAGTAAATAATTGCCCTTCTTTTCGTCTTTTGGTCTTTTGCCTTCGCCTACGTGCTGCCTTCTCAACCTCAGGTCGTATATCAATTCACCTGTGCGAGAAGAATGGGGCATAAACTAGCAAAAATACCAAGAAAAATAAAATAAAATAAAATAAAACTGAATTAAAAAAAGAAACAAATAATTCAAACGCCACTCCCCAGCAGCGGCGCCAAAAATTAACAGGTGTCGAACATGTGCAATAATAATAAATAAAACCTAACTACCACCTGAAGCAGTCAATAATCAATTCTAGTACTGAAGCAAGGACTCTAAGTGTGCAATGGGTTACTTGATTCACCATATTCCCGAAGAATTTGCTTGATCCGATATATTTGAATTAATTATTTAACCGAATTCACTAACTAGTAGATAGTGGTAAGCAGGGTCGTCTCCTCAGGAACTAGCAAGAAATTTGTTCCTTTTCAAGTAAAGATCAAAGGGGGGTTTTTGGGATTAAATGCCAATTAAATATATAAAATACAGAAAATAATTAATTCAAAGAAATAATTAGAGAAACTCCAGCCAAGGGTACACTTCAGAAATGGTTCAGACACTGATCATCGATTCACAGATAATTCCAACAGTTATCAATAGACTAGTTATAGTTGTCATGCACGCGATAAACAACCAACCTTTCCTTAATTTCTCGATAGCTAAGGTACGACCGTTAACTATTTTTCTAACCCAAAAATAACCCTAAGTACGACTGTAGGATTTAATTTCTGGCTTGCATTAATAATTAGAAAGGCCCAATCCTAACTAACAAACACGCTACGAGGGTTTGTTTAAATTAGATCGTATATCCCCCTGACATAAACCCAATTACGCCAGTTGCTACTAAGACAGTGATAACGAACAATTACGGATTCAATTACCCCTATTTAGCAAAATAGCCTATATGAATAATTAATTATTGCGCACTAACCAATCATATACAAGGCTATAGCAATTAAAAGCAGGGAACATATAAATATCAATAAATGAAGAAAATAATTAAAACCGGTTTAGATCTCACAGTAATTGCCGAACCAATTTGTCAGTGCCCCTTTGACTAGAATTAGAGAATTACCCCTCCATTAATGGAGGACAAACTGCGTGTGTGGATTTGGAAAAAGTTTGCGAACCGATTCTTCCAACTTCGGTCAACAACAGGAGGAAAAAGCAAGGGATTTTATTGCGTCCAATTGTCTCCAAAAATCCAACGTAAAAGAGAGTCTGATGCCCTCTTCCAATTTCGGTCAAAGCCAATTGAAAAGCAAAGCCAAAAGAGTCAATAATGGCGGCTCAGTTGCTTTCTTCTCCTAATTGCTCACAAACATACGGGAAAGGATTTTGCTTGATTTTTCAATTCGGTCAATGTAATTGGAAAAGCAGTTTTGCAAAGTCAACAATTGGGGCTTGTGTCCCCTTGATTCTTTACAGAGATACGGCAACCCAATTCAAAAGCAAGGGCAAAAGAACGAGAAGAAACCTAAGCTAGATGAAAAATTCCTTCGCTAAAAAAAAACCGACCTCTTGGAGTCTAATACTCCCCTTCTTTTATTCTTGGTCCCCACCGATATTCAAGGAGGGGATTTTCCCTTATCGGAAATTGGTGTTCAAAAATTAAAACAAGACTCCCCAACATAAAATAAAATAAAGTCTATTACAATTTAGTTTCTTCAGCTTCTCAAGCGAACCCCACTGCTTGAAGTGCCCCACGTACGACGAATCTTCTGTATTTCAATTTTAAGCACTTTTCAGCATCAATTCCTGCAATTAGCACCAAAATCATATTTGAGTAGAATCCACCCAATTAATAAAAATATTTAGTCAAATAATTGTGCAATAATGCCCAAAATACCCCACTAAAATGCACCCTATCACCTTGGGAAGGGGTTGAGTTGCTATCGTTTATGTCCATGGTTGGGGTGGTGGATACGGGCTTCTCGGGGTCCAACTTTACGTGGTGCAATAATAGACAAGGTCAGGCACGCATTTGAAAACACTTAGATCGGCTGCTCAGTGACCGGTAGGCAGTGGAGATGGGTATAAATTTTAGGGTCCAACATTTGAGTAGGGCTCCTTCTGATCATGCTCCCTTGCTACTGTCTACAGTCCCTCGATTGGATAATTCCTCCAAACCATTTCGTTTTTTAAACTATTAGACTACGCATGAGTCTTTCCTGAATGTAGTTCAGCTGAACTGGCATGTGGAGTTTGTGGGGGACCTCCTGTATGTGTTGGCAGCTAAATTGTGCCGAGTTAAAAAGGCTCTTAAGGCATGGTTGAGGGAGTCTTTTGGGGATATTTTTTAGAAGGTGAAGAAGGCGGAGGAGGAAGTGGCACATGCAGAAAATTGTTTCGATGAGGATCCTTTAGAGCTGCACCAGATTCGATTAAATGAGAGACGGGCATTGCTAACCCATGCGCAGGTGCAAGAAGATATGTTTTGGAGCCAAAAAGCCAGGGCGGCATGGTTGAACGATGGGGATAAGAATACCAGATTCTTTCATGCGTGTGTGTCTGAACGGAGAAGGAAGTCTGTGATCCATCGGATAAGATCGCAATGCGGGGAGTGGCTGGAAAGGGAGGACGACATCTCTAAGGGGACAGTATCCTTTTTTCAACAACTGTTCTCGGATCAATCAGGGTTGAGCTCCATTCCAGTGTCGGATGTGATTCCAAAACTGCTATCTGATCGGGATAACCTTGAGTTGGAACGGCATCCCTCTCTGGAGGAGATTAAGGACGTGGTGTTTTCATTGGATCCCGACAGTGCTGCTGGTCCTGATGGATTTTCGAGGAGGTTTTTTACCTTTACATGGGAGGTTGTTGGGAAAGATGTTTTTGACGCGCTAGGTAGCTTCTTTTCTGGATCGGAGCTGCCAAGGAGCATAACGGCTACTTCTATTGTCCTCATTCCCAAGGTGGGCTTTTCTTAGGATTTCTCGCAATATCGACCAATTAGTCTGTGTACATTTGTGAATAAGATTATTTCTAAACAGCTTGCGAAGAGATTGGCTGATGAGAACATGAAGATTTGGATTCCCTTCAAATTCAAGGAAATTCAATTGATGATTGATGGTGCAATCGGGTTCAAGAATCATTGAAGATTTGTCATGCTTATTTCTTGTTATTTATTTAAGTAAGTTTCTAGCAATACTTGTTAGTTAGTCTTGAGTTATTAAGGGAAATAAAGGCTAAGGTCATGTTGACCATAGTTAAGCCAATTAAGTCAGTTAGTTTCCTATTCTAATTGAATTAGAGTTTTAGGAAAGTAGTTAATTGCTTCCAAATTTATTTAGGAAGTTGTGTCAAGTCAAATAAGGAAGCTTGTATTGTTTCCAATTTAGATTAGGGTTTTGAGTCTTGTAAGGCTATAAATAGCCAACTTTATTTAACTATTCAGGCAGATGATATTGAAGATGAATTAAAAAAAAAAAGAGTTGTCTCCTTTTATGGAGTTTCTTGATGGAACTTGAGTTTTTTTCTTGAACAGTATCAAGTATTTAGTTTGGATACTTGTGGTGTTCAAGGCAAGATGATCACATCATCTTGTTCTTTCAAGCCAATAACCAATCCACTAGGTTTCTAGAGACGGATTCTCTTTAGGTCTAACAAGATAGTTATTGTTCCATGCCAATAACCAATCCACTAGGTTTCTAGAGACGGGTTCTCTTTAGGTCTAGTAAGGTAGTTATTGTTTCCATAACCTGGTCAAGATAGATCCTTCCGCTGCCTGATCAACTTGGTTCTTCAAGACAGGTTCTTGCTGGGTCGAGTTCGTATCATTGGCGAGATAGCCAGAACGGATTTGTTCAGGGTCGACAACTTTCTGATAACTTTTTGTTGACCGAAGAGCTAGTTTCCGGCATTCGGAGGCCAAATAGAGGAGGTAATTTAGTCCTTAAGCTAGATATGGAAAAGGCCTATGATAGGGTATCCTGGAATTTTCTGATGCAAGTGATACGTAAATTTGGTTTCAGAGAGAGGTGGATTGATATGATGTGGCGACTAGTGGCTAATGTGTGGTTTTCAGTGATTATTAATGGGACACCGAAGGGGTTCTTCACATCCTCCAGGGGGCTGCGCCAAGGGGACCCCATATCACTAGCTCTGTTTATTTTAGGGGCGGAGATTTTATCTCAGTCACTGAATACTTTGTTGGAAGATAGGCGGTTTGTGCTGTTCAAGGTTTCCAGAGGCTGCCCTAACATTTCTCATCTCGCTTACGCAGACGATGTAATGATTTTCAATAGCGAGTTGAAGAGTTCTTTAACGATGGTCATGAACTCTATGGAAGCATACTGTAAAGTGTCGGGACAACAGGTGAACCTCTAGAAAAGTTGTTTTTGGTGCATCGAAGGCTTAATGCAGCACAAAAGCGTATCATCTCTCAGGTTACGGGTTTCAAAGAGAAGTCTTTCCCATTAAGTTTCTTGGTTGTCCGTTCTATGTCGGAAGGGGTAAGATGGCCTACTTCTCTAGAATTGCAGAGTTAGTGTCCAAGCAGGTGTTTGCGTGGAGAAGTAAGTTGTTATCTTATGGTGGGAACTTGACTCTTATTAAGAGTGTTCTTGCATCTATACCAATTCATATATTGGCTATTGCGACTCCCACGAAGGGTTTCTTTCGAAGTCTGGAAAAGATCTTTGGAGGATTCCTATGGGGTAGTTCAGACTACGGTTTACGGTTACATTGGATAAAATGGAGCACCCTTTGTAAGCCGGTAGAGGAGGGTGGCATGGGGATACAGTTGTTAGAGTCGGTCCATGACGCTTTTTCAATGAAATTATGGTGGTCATTCCGACAAAATGTGTCCTTATGGGCACGCTTCATACAGGGGAAATATTTGCGTGGGGGTCATCCTTGTGAAGCTGAACAAGTTTGGGGGCAATCCCCCATATGGCGAAGGATGGTGATGGTCAAAGACCTAGCGGAACAGCATATTAGATGGGTCTTGAGGAATGGGGAAGTGGATTACTGGCACGAAATTTGGATGGGGTCTGGGCCTGTGTGCGATAAAGTGGAGTTTTTTGGGGTGCATTCAGTGGCGAGTTTTGTTGTCCAAGGCTGGTGGAGTATAAATCTGTTACAGCAATAGCTGCTGCGAGTCATTGTGTCGAAAATATTACTTATTCCTTCTCTTGTATCCCGATGGTCGGATCACATGGTGTGGGACTTAAGCTCATCAGGTTCGTTTACAGTTTCTTCGGCTTATCAGGTGGTGAGCCAACCTGCACCCATGTCATTCTTTTTGGCAAATACATGGCATTCGCTGATTCCTGCAAAAGTTTCCTTCTTTATGCTTTGTTTGCTAGAGTCCCGACTACCAGTTATAGATATTCTTTACCGTTTTCAAGTACAGGGTCCATCTCACTGTTGGTGTTGTAAAGAGCCGGGGGTAGAGAGTCTAGACCATATATTTTGCACTGGAGAGATCCCATCACTGGTTTGGCAGTCTTTTGAAGGGGTTGACGGAGGCCTCAGCCCAGCTTATATGGTGCGACATGTGCTGGCGAAATGGTGGTTACGGATTACAACAAAATCCACCTTGAAGCTTATCTATCGAATTCTTCCTTGCCTAGTGTGTTGGCACCTATGGAGGGCTAGGAACTCGGTGCTATTCAAAGGCAAAAGGGTGACGGCGGAAGGTATTCATTGGTGTATTCTCAGGGAGCTGGGAGAGATTTTGTGTGGCCGATTCCCCAGTCTTGCTTCTGGTGGTTTGTCTTGGTATTCTCTTCTTGATTTAGTGGCCCAGAGGGATAAACCTAGTAGGATTTCCAAGTAGAAATGGAGCGGGTCGCCGTTCATGATCCCAAAGTTGAATGTGAATGGTTGCTATTGGGACAACCCGGGAAGGGCAGGCGAGAGTGGTATTCTAAGGGATCCATCGGGGCATTTTATTTTTGCTTTTGCTAACGTTGTTGATGTAGCTAAAAGTTTGCAGGCAGACCTGAAGGCAGTGATTGAGAGGGTGAGGCTTTGTGTACAACAAGGTTTTGCGGACGTGCACGTGGAGTTAGATTCTTGGCTTGTGGTTCGAATGTTCCATGACGAGGTGGGGATACCTTTGTGGCTAATGCGTGACTTTGAGGAGCTTTTAGCTTTGCGCCATCATGTGTGTATCATGACGCATTGTTTTCGAGAGGCAAACAAGTCTGCTGTTTGTCTTGCTAGGGTTGGCATTACCTCGGGCATCAACCGGGTATTCGAGTCGTTGGATCAACTTCCCCTAGAGGTTTGAAGTGAGGTTACTTTGGAACGCGTAGGTACCCTTCTATTAGGATTGAATAGTGCTCGTCAGAATAGTGCAATAGCTCTTTGTACTCCGCCATTTACGTATAAGCAATAAAAGGGAATTTTTATTTTAAAAAAAATCAAGAAAGTTGCACATTGAAACAAGAGGGAAAAAGAGCGCATACCTATATGTATGATACAATTTTACGCCTTGCTTAAGTATTTGGACAACTTAAATATTGATGAATAGTGGAACAAATTAATTTACACATTTAATCGGATAATTGGATTAGCGTATATGTATTGCTTGACCATAAATACACATATACCCATTGTTTCATTTTTATGTTTGTTGGTGTATATGTTATTGTGTAGTTTGCTTTTCGTTTATGGAATCAATGATTGTCATACACAAAAATTAAAAGTATAATTAGTTGCATACTGCCCTAGAAAAATAGTATTTTCTTTTTGTTGTATAAAAGATTACAAGGTATAACACGTCAATTTTTTTGACCTTCAAGACAAAATTAAAGATTTCATAATTCCTAATCTAAAAATGTATCAAATTATTGAATAACAATTGATACTCGATCATTTAGGTTGAGAAATTTCAGTCAAATTCAAGGGATACTTTTCATTTGATTGTTTTAGGATATCATAAATGAGGAGCATTTTGTGGCTGACAATCGGTATACAACTAAAAAATTGTTGAATATTTAACTAATAGTCCACAAGAAGAAGAAAAGGGAAAAGATTTTGAAAAAGAAAAAGTGCACAATATGTTTATGGGAAAAATGTACAGACCTTCTCAATAAAAGTATTCCAAAAAGATGTATTAAAGAAAAAAAGAAAGGAATGAAGTATATGTTGGAGAAAGCAAGATATATGTAAAAGATGAAATATTGTTTGCTAGCATATATATAAAAGTAGTTTTCAGCCAATTCAAGTTCCAATATAACTTAAAAAGTATGGTGAATAAATTGTTCAAAAAAACTTGGTGTATTTATTACGTACGGCATTTATTATGCCTAAGTTAGATGTACTATTATAATCTGTAGTACTTTGGCATGCAATTATATGAGGTTGATTTTTTTTTATCACAAAAGTGCAATTCTGTAAACATCAAGGAATGTCTCATATCTAACTGTGTTTTGTCTAATTGCTATAATTCTTATTAAATTTGTTGTATTTTACTTGAGGAGCTATTCAGAATCATATTTTTAATTACACCAAAATTGTATAAATTTACAAAAAAAAAATCTTATAAGTATTACATACCCTAATATAACCCAGCAAAATTCAACTAGACCTGCCCTTCTGGCAACATATTTCTGCAATCTTCTACGTTTCTGGAGCTCTCATCTGCAAATACCAAGTAACTTACATTTTGTTACACTATCTTGATTCTAAATGAGCAAGGGTTGTACTCGTACAAAACATAAATAGAATTCGAAAAAAACTAAGTGATAAAAGGTGAAAATATTGTGAAACATTCAGTATTAGCCCTATATGAAAATTTTACTCTATGTTCTATACTTGAATCACTTTTTCCATGGTTCTTGCAAAATATTGACAGTAGCATGCAAACCAAAAAAAAAATCTGAAACTGTAAAAAAAAAAAAAAGAAGGGTTAAATTATGTTGTGGAACTGTGGAAAAGAATATTGAGTATTCACAGAAGCATGCAATTCCATGCAACTCTACTCCCACCTCAAAAAAAAAAATGTCATACAAGTAACAGCCACCTTTTTTTTCGGTCGCAATACAATTAATTCTTCACAAGGGCTGCCAAGGTCACCTTCAACAGTAGTATTTTGATTGAGCTGTGGCATTATTGATCTGAGTCTATAACAAGATATGACCAAGTAAAATCTATATTGGCCATGTATGACAAATCCGAAAATCCAACTATATTGCCAAACTTTTAATGATCATTATCCATTTCCTCACACTGGGAAAATTGTGGATATGTATACAGCCCCCTAAAAGTGAAAGCAACCCTTATTTGTTATACTATCCTATGATCCAGGAAAGGTGTCTAGTCCAAGACTTTAATCGTATTGGGATAAGAGGTGGGGAAGAATAGTGTTGAGAGGTCACCATTAGAAAAGCCCTGTCAATAAAGCATAGCCCGAGAGGTCACTCCAAAAAAAAAAAAAAAAAAAAAAACTGTGAGGTTGGAGATTTTTGTGCAGTGAAGCACCTGTTTCTTTGTCGTTGAAGGTAACTAATGAAATCATGATGTATAAATCATACGTGGAAGAGATTAATGTGGGCTCCAATATTCTCTACTTCAAAAATTTTTATTCTATTCCTATATTAGTTAATTAGTATCCTAATGTACCCTTCAAAGCAATTAGTAATTTAGTGTTCCTACATTATGTTGCTTGACAAGTCGACTCTAGGTAGAACAACTTTTGCTCATACGGACTTCTCGAATGAATTATTAAATCAGCTAAGATACATCGAAATGTACTTTAATTCAATTTTTTTTTCTTTTGTTGCTAAATGGATCATCGTTTTATTTCTTCTTTTTTACATGACAGTGAAGTGTTCCTCTATTTTTTTTTTCTTTCCATATCAGTTTCACGTACAAAAAAAAAACACAATCCAAAAAGAATATGTAAATAACGGAAATAGTTGGGCAAATTCAAAGTGCTTTCAATACAAGTATTGAATTCTTACTAGTTGAGCCACAATACCTTGGTAGAGATTTATTTGTGTGACTTATCTCCTACATCAGAAATTTTGCAAAGCTTCTTGTCCTTTGGAGGCCATAAATATAGAAGGTTTTAGCAAGATTGAGTAGACAAAACCCCGAGATAGGCTAGTTGGGGCTTTGGATCATAGAGCCTTCTGTATTTCTTTGCGCTTTCTTTTTGTCTTGTGCTTCCTTGTATTAGTGCTTATATGTCTAAAATTACTTTTCTGTAATTTTATCTGTAATTTTACTTTTAATAGTTTCTATGAAATTTATCCTAAACTTCATAAAATATTCTAATTTTAATGTTATTTTTTTTATTGTTTTACATATTTATGCCTGACATAATTCACCCCTTCAAAAGTAACAATTCAGTAACCAAAGGAATGGAAGGAAGCCAAAGAAGAAGAAGAAGAAAATATGAAGAATTTTTCAATATTTACAAGTTGATCGACAAGTTATTCTTAAAAGGTATTTATCATGTTGAAGTGTTTTTGTGCGTGTGTCCAAATGAAATTAGTTATTTACTCAAAATTTTCAATTATTAGAATAACAGGGTGGGGAAACAAATGAAGACGAAATGATTTTAGAGAATTTTTTTTCTAATTTTTCCCAGTAAGGAATGAGTGGATTTAAGGAGCGAAGAGATGATAGGAGAATTAAAATTCAGGACCTCTAATTTTTGGGATCTCAACTTCAGCCATTAAACTAAAGAACTACCATTATGTGAAAACCACCATCTTCATCATGAGTCATGAAGTAGACATTAATTCTTTTGCTATCAATCAACATTTGAAATTGATCATCATCTTTATACACCCTTAGTTACTAGTATTATCTACAAAGAAATATGAATAAATTACATTTTACCCTTCTGTAGTTTGGCACTTTACCACATAATCCACTTACGATTTTAAAATTTATATATAACCCCCGCATGATCGAGAATATAAGTGTACACATATACACTACTCTTAAACCTTTTTTAAGTGTAAAATATGTTATTCATGTCCAAACACTAGAATTCAATTCACTGGCCAAAAGTCAATTGAACTTTTGTTTTCAGTTCCTTTTTTTTCAAGCTTTAATTTCAGATAGACATGACTGTATTTCTAAGTTTTGATGCAAGATATCATTCATTTTGGTCTATTTGTTTTGGTTGACTAAAAATAATTCTTGATCATGGGGGGATTATTTATAAGTTTCTAACTTTTAATCGCAGTCACAATTGCAAGTAATCTCAATCGCAGTCACATTTGCAGCGGTTGCTGTAGAATCCATTACTCACATGGGCTGCCGACATCTCTTCGGCCAGCCTCGTTTAATTTCAGCTGTAGCATTCAGTCCTCTGGGTCTACATAGCCAAGTAAACCTTCACTATGGCTACCTATTACAAATCCAAATATCTCTATCAGCATTCCCAAACTTTTGATCATTATAGATTTCCACACACTAGGAAAATAGTGAAATTGTATACAGGTGACTAAAAGTGAAAGCAACCCTTTACCCGTCTTAGTGGAAAATACATTTAATTATTATAATATATTTAGGCTATCATTCTGGTGATTATATACACGTATACATATACATACATACATACTCTGGTCGAAGACTTTCGCCTTTAGAGATAATTAGAAAGAACAAGAAAATTATTTAGAGGCATAAGCGTAGAGCTGGAAAATGTTCATACTACTTTTTGTAAGATTCAACATGCAAAGTTTTATGGCTGTTTACTCATGAATAATTTTTTTTGTGCAATATTTATCCATTAAATTATGTTATTACTTGCTGCTTGAAGTTGAATGTTGAATTTTCTAATCAGTTAATCCAATTGGCATTCTTGAAATTTATGACATACGGCTTAATTTGTTTCCACTTAGTTTCCTAGTACACTATTTCAAACTAGATTAATAGCTTGACCTCATTTATTTGCACTTTATTTTAGTACCCATTCTCAATTTTCACCATAAAGCTTATATAGTATTTGTCTAGTCATAAGCACTTGTTGAATTCTAATCATTGTGGTCGGGCACATAATTTTTTAGAAACAAAAAATATCAAGTGAAAACCATAGTTATTAAACCCGGTCCGAAGAGGAACCTGGCGAAAGAGGTGGGTGAACGGGTTACTGGTTTAACTAGTGGGTGAGTGGTTCAACCGGTGGATCACTAAATATATTTAAATATTATGTTTCACAATTTTTGATATGGTTAAAACTATAATAAATTATGCCATAGTAAATGCTCAATTAGTCTAATTTATTATAGAATCATTAATTCTTGTAAGAATTAACAAAACCTAAATTCA